ACCTAGTGCCTTTTCCTGCCTTTTTCGCTATTTTGTTTTGCCTTTTTTGCAATACCTAGTGCATTTTCCTGCTTTTTCGCTATTTTATTTTGCCTTTTCCAGCCTATTTCATTATTTTATTTTGCCTTTTTTATAGGTTTTTAGGTCCTAAAAATCCGTTCCCTGGTTATCAGCGTTGCCCCTAACAATTTCTTTCCCCTACCAATTTTCTTCCCAAATCCGACCAAAACATCCTAACATTTTACGCTCACACACGTGTGCTGTGCATATAAAAAATTAAACACTTGCTCACATCACATGTGTGTGCCGTTTGGTAAAAAGCACGGACACATGTGTGTACTTTTTATTATTATAAGCTTTTATTTAACTTGGTCATCCGCGGAAATCGCGGAAATTTCCAATCGATTTTAAACTAACTTCCCGACAAGTTAGAGAATTGAAATTTTCAGCATAGTTCCAATCACGATGACAATGCAATTTAGTATATAAATGAATTCCCCATATGGTCCAGGGGTCTTGATTCAAAGGCGGTCATAAAATAGTAAGATTTATGGCTAACAGAGCGTAATTTGCCAAAGAACGTAAAACCACTATAAAATTGCTAAAGCTGCCGGCGATAGCGTAGCAAAGCTATTTGTGGCAACTTTAGATATCAACCTAGTCTAGATATGAACCTCGTTGTAGGAATTAGAAGACTCCAGATGTCGCCCCGCCAGAAGAAGTTAAATATTGCGCCTAAATATATGCCATTTACATATGCTACAGCGGAAATGGACGACACGCCATTTCTTTAAATGAAATTAACTGCTGCTATATGTACATATGTATGTTAATACAAAACGTAAGCAAACATTTTGCTTGCATAGTCTTCTGTTCTCTTTCATTACAAGTTAAATTATTTTAATATCTATTGCAAAATTTTGTACATAAAATAAAATAACACTTTTTAATATACAACGCTTTTATAAATGGACTAAAAATTTGGAAATAAAATAATGTAAAAAAAAATATTTTTTTAAAAACAAGCTTTTATTTAACATGTAGAATCAAAGGAATAAAATAAAGTAGTGTAACAAAAGATTTTTTAGCAAGAAAATTTTGTCAAAACTGCACTAAAATTAATAAAAAAAATAAGTTAAGGTCTCGTTAAAGTTACTAAAAGCCATTTAGTGAAAGGAGTTATTCAAACTCTAATGAATATTACTAACAATTTGTACTAATTTACTTCGTTTTTAAAAAAGCTTGTCGGCGAATTCAGCGTACATGCATAACTGGTTAGGTATGTATGCAGATATTTAAATGCCGGTTTGCTATTCGCGCGAACAGCTTTTTTAAAAACGAAGTAAATTAGTACAAATTGTTAGTAATTTTCATAAGAGTTTGAATAACTCCTTTCACTAAATGGCTTTTAGTAACTTTAACGAGACCTTAACTTATTTTATTTTATTCATTTTAGTGCTGTTTTGACAAAATTTTCTTGCTAAAAAATCTTTTGTTACACTACTTTATTTTATTCCTTTGATTGTGCATGTTAAATAAAAGCTTGTTTTTAAAAAATATTTTTTTTATATTATTTTATTTTTATTAATATAAAGGACACGCGCATGTGTGTGCTTTGCATAGAGAAACTTATACACTTCGAATTCTAACTCAAATCTTAAAATAATTTTTTTATATGTTTTCTGTCATATAAAAAATAAACAACATCTCACTTTTTATTGAATTGTCTTTCAAAAAATAAAGTTTAATAAAAAAATTTGTTTAAAAATATATTATGTGCATGTGCATGGGCTGAAATTTGTACAAAAATCGGCTCACACACACGTGCATGTGCTTAATAACAAACTGCACACACTTTTCTGTGAGCAGACCCTGAAGGAAAGATTGGTCCAATTGCTCGAAAAATATAGTCGTAGGTATAGTAGCTTTGTATCTAGACCAAAGATAGTCCAAAAATATAAAGCAATGTAATGTAAAACAGGTGAATTGTACTAAAAGTGGTCCGAATGTAATGCATAAGGTATGAGTTTTGATCTAAAACTGGTTACAATGTCATGCAGTAGCGGACAACGAGTACAATTAACGACTTGCTGATATGTAGGCACTTCGCCAACAAATTTTATCCGCTTAGAAAATCTGAGAACCCCGGTTCAAATCGCAGCGGGCGCAAGTTTTATTTTTGTTTTTTTTTCCCCCAAAATTGGTTACAATGTAATGCAGAAGCGGACAATTGGTCCGAGCCTAGGACATACAATGTTAAATGTAAATAGAATTTTACATGTTGTTGGACCAAACTTTGAACTAGTTACAATCACTTGCAGTCTAGCTTGTGGTGTGCTCTAAGTCTATTCCGAGATCCTACAGGGGAGTTTGTTTTCCACTTATGCACACACATGTGTATGAGCAGTGAGTGCAAGTTGAATGGGTTTCTGGCGTGTGTGTGAGCAGAGCAAGTGTGTGCAAATACGAACCCTGCAAATAAATCTCAATTACAAAAACGCATTCTGAAAGCATACAATTCATTTATTTAAGATTAAATGTTTCTAATACAAAACATTTATATATGAGTAGTCCACTTGCAAATTGCGCTATGTAAAATTTTTTCGATTTTTAGTTTTTGGTGGATTACGTACCAGTATTGAAAGTAGTTTCATGTCCACTAACAACACTGTGCTAAATCTTTTTATATTCTGAAAAAAATAGCATAAAATGTTAACTCTTCTTCCAAAAGTCGCTATCATACTTATTTATAGAATTTAAAAAGTATCCATCTTCTGATGAACCTAGAAAACTTGTTTAGGTCGTATAGACTGTTAATGTTATCTTATGTCATGGTATGTTATGTTATAATTTTAGAAAGCTCTTATTTATCCAAATTTTCAGGTAATAATAAAAAAGATTCAATTTAAATGTTACTTGTTATCGTAGTCGTTTTTTTCAAATTTATGGCTTTCTATTATACAATCACATTACACTGTTTGCAAGTGGACTACTCATATGTACTTTGTAGATTTTAAAACAAACAAGAAATAAATAAATGCAGGTACAGTCTTAGACACAGAGATGAGATCATTTAGCATTTTTTGGTTGTATGAGTTATATACATAGGTACATGTTATGTACCAATAAGTTTAATTTCTTAAAAGTAAATTTAAATCAATTAATCACACATGCAAATCTTTAGCAGCTGACCACACATAATGCGGGCAATTTTTGTCTACAAGTTCCTTGCATAAGATTATGCTATTGATACAGTCAATCTTAAGTTTATTTCTTAGTTTAGTTTTTATCGAAGAAAGCGTTGAAAATTTGCGTTCTGCAGCCGCAGAGCTACATAAGTGGTAATGAAATTATATTAAAAGCGAAATTGGCGAGATGCATGCAGCTATTTTCATTAATTCCATTTTTAATAGAATCAGCTTTTTCCCAAAATATATCAATATCCAGATCGCTGGAAATATCAAGCTCACTTAGCCTCATTTTTCATTTTTAAAATCAATATTAATATTGTTACTGATCGCATCTCTTTTAATAAAGTTACTCAAAATTAACAGATAATGTGCTTTGATAGTTGCATATAAGTATGGCAAACGAGAGCTCTCAGCTTGGAACTCTTTTTTCGTCTGTTAATTATGGGAAAAATATACGATAGAAATAAAAAATATCATTTGGTTTTGCAACACATTCCTTCGGCCAGGTCAGCAGATCGCATACTGTTTACTTCGTAAAAGCAGGAAATAAAACAAAGTTTCAAACTATCCCATTGCTCAACTATTCTTAACACAGAGCTTTCTAGTGAAAGCCATCGTCTTTGAGATATGCCCAAGATTTTGTAGGGTTTTACCGAACAGTAGTCCGGAAATTCCTTCAGTTCATATATCCTCTTTGGAATGTGGGAATAGAAACTATATATGTTGCGGCACAGTGTCTCAATGCTTTTCGGGAATTTTCTACAAGCGTAGCTTGAGAAAAGGTGAAGTGAGTAGCATCTGCACTTTATATAAAATAAATCGGGTTTTGCACTCAATAATGTTTTCAACCCGCCCAAGTCTCCAGCCATAATATTGGCTCCATCAGTGGCCAAACCAATTAGGTTTCTTATTGTTAAAGACTGGATTGGCAAATTATTAAAAAGTACAATTGGCAAATATTTATATGCAAAATGATGTTTGAAATATATATATTTTTATAATTAAGAATTTGAAAATGATCTATTATTTTTATTGGCCAAATAATAGACATAAGAACGATTATGAGAAATGTAAACATAACAAAACTGTCAAAGCTAAACTTCAAAATGGGGCGAACTTGCCAGATGAATGTACGTAACCAATAGTTATTCAACCATCATATCGGTATAGACACAAATTGACATGGCCACTATGAAAACGCCCACACTGACATACGATAAAAGAATCGGTGGTCACATACCACGAGGCTAGAAAAATATTCTTTCTTTTTGGAATGGGACACGGACCGAACAACACGCATCAGCCATCGCAAGAAGGAAGTAATCCTAACCAAGCAATTTATCAAAGCTGACGACATTGGTTTGGTTAAAGTCAATCCTCAGAGTGCGTATACCTGGGGAATATACTTATCGGCATTGTTCCACCACAGTGAAAAAGAATAAGTTTTTGTTGAACATAACCACACTTACGCCCGGCATAAAATAACCGCGTGCTCAGCTGAGGGAATATAGCAATTTCATCATCGAATCAATTTAATACATCATAAAATTAGATTTAAGGAAAAACTAAAATCTTTTAGTCGTTTTTCTCATTTTGTTGGTCACAAAATTGTACGTCGGTGAACCAAACATATTTGAGTTTATTAGATTTTTGATACATTTTTTCTTTTAGAAATTCCGCTATTATAAATCATCATTGAGATTGAATCAAATAATTATTTTTTGATATGTCTCTAGGGCCAATTTTTAAATTTCCTATGGGGTAGTTAAAGGAGCTTTTCGGCCGGTGTAAAAAAAAAAGCAAACAATGTTTCTTTTTCCTCCTACGCGTTTCGATGCTTTTCACATCTTCCTCAGGGAGTCTGATGTTTATTGTAAACAAAACATAAAAAACAATCAATTAGGCTACACATGTATGTACATGAAAAATATAACAATTACAATTCTTTGGTATAACAATTTTTTGCTGCAAAACATAACTTACATTGAACATCAAAACAAAGAAAATATAACAAAAACACACTGATATTGACTTCTTTACATTTAAGTGTACTTCTGCTCGTCTGTTCTCCTATTGCACGTTATTGCTGTCCGGTATGCGCAATTTATATTGTCGACGTCTTCCTTGAAATTCATTGCATGCTGTATTTTTTGTTGTATTCGCAAGCTTTCTAATGTTAGTCTCGTTCTGTCTTTGTTCTCCACATCTAATATTTTCGCGTTTTCAAAGTCTGCTGTATGTCCACTATTCGTTAAATGTTGTGCTAATGCAGTCGTTGTCTTCTTATTTCTCGCATCGGTTTTATGTTCGCTTATTCTAACACCGAGAGCGCGCTTCGTTGTGCCTATGTATATTTTATTGCATGCTTCGCCAGCCTTACCATTGCATTGGATTTCGTAAACCACGTTGTGTTGTTGTTCTTTGTTTATTTCGTCTTTTATTTTGCTAAAAATTCTATTGATCGTGCTATTTGGCTTATGTGCAAAGGTAATGTTTTTGTTTTGGATACTTTTTTGTATTGTTTTACTGTCCGTTAATCCTTGTATATATGTGACGCCTGTGTACCTTTTGTTGTTTGTAGTTTCGGGTTGAGTGTTTAAATTTGCTGCTTTTGGTTTGTTTTTTGCTGTTGCTATCAACCTCTCAATAGCTTCGTTTGGATACCCGTTCTTATACAATATATTTCTAATTTTCCTGCCGTTGTCTTTTCTGAATTCATGGTCACTTAATGCGTAGATTTTGTTGATGAGGTTGATGGCTGTATTTTTCTTTTGCGTCCACGGGTGGTTGGAATGATAATTGATCATTCTGGAGGATGCTACAGATTTCGCATACCAATTCGTTTTTATTATATTGTTTGAACGGTGAACTTCTACATCTAGGAAGGCTAACTTATTTCCGTCTTCTACTTCTGTGGTGAATTGGATTTTGCTGCGTTGCGAATTAAAAACTTTTAAGATTTCTTCCACGTCATTTTTCTTTACGATAGCGAATATGTCATCTACATACTTGTTTATGTATTTTATATATATGTCCTTAGTTTTAAGTTCAGCGATGCTGTCGTCAAGTATTTTGTCTAAAACAATGTCGGCTACAGTTGGCGATAAGGGATTCCCCATTGGCATTCCATGAACTTGTTGATAGTATGTTCCATCATATAAAAAGTAATTATTATCTCGTAGGCAGAATTCTAAGGTCGTTAAAAATTGCTTTCTTGTGAGTGTGGTATGACGTTGTAGTGAAGTCCATTGTTCCATAATTATACGAATGGCAAATTGAACTGGTATATTTGTAAATAGAGATACCACGTCGAATGAAATAAGGATTTCGTCTTCTTCAATCCTAATGTTTTTTAATCTGTCTTTAAGTTGGAACGAATTGTGGACATTGTATTCGTGGGAAACGATTTCCTTAAGTGTTTGTCCTATAAATTTGGAGAGTTTGTAGCATGGTACGTTGGTAAAGGCAGAAATTGGTCTTAGCGGTGTATTTTCTTTATGTATCTTCGGAAGTCCATATAGTCTTGGTGCTGTAGCCGCAGTGCATGTCAATTGGTATTTTTTATGATTGTCAATATTTTTCCGTTTGTATAAGTCATTAACTATGTTGTTGTTTCTTCGTAGCAATTTTTGTGTAGGGTCCATTCGAATAGTTTTATAGGTATCCCGGTCGCTTAGAAGACCTTTCATTTTTTCCTTATATTCCATCTTATCCATCATTACCGTTCTATTTCCTTTATCCGAGTTTGTGATCACGACAGAGTCTTTGTGTTGTTTTATTAATCGCCTTGTATCTTCATATATTTTTAGTATGAATTTTTCTTTTGGGTCATTCTTCAATTTGTTTTTGAATGTATTAATTTTAGAAGCTATCTTGCATCTTGCACTGTCTTTTTCTCTTTCGTCTTCTATTGTCTGTATTCCTTGCTCTTATTTCTGCAATCAAGTGTACCGGTGAGAAAGTTTTCCTTGTTACTGGTAGCGCAAACTTTTTGCCTAAGGAGAGGATCCATCTAGACTCTCTAGGAATATTGATATTAGTTTTGTTTATAAACCAATCCTCGTTAAATATAAACCCGAATCTTTCAAAATTTCTGTCAATTTGTTTTTGAAGTTTTTCTTTGAGACCCTTTTCTGTCGATGATGCGATATCTTTTGAAAATTGCTTTTGATTTTCTGTTACTATTTTGAAATCTGTATCTTGTAATTTTTCCCGGAGATCTTTCTTTATGTGTTCCATATTAGTACGTACTATTTTAATTTGAATATTCGCTTCTTTAATTTCCAAGTTTAAAGTTTTCATCGTGAACTGTTCCTCAATTTTTTCTAATTCCTTTTTTGTAACGTCTAGTTGGAAACCATGTTTAAATCTATTTGCTTTACCTTTCAAATGTGGTGGTGTTATCCCAAAATCTTTACACTGGAGTAGAAATTTTAGTCTTTGTTGTTGTTTTGCTAATTTCTTGTGGTTTTTGTTGTGCTGTTTAATAATGTAGCAGGTGTCCTCTCCATATTTATTTTTTGAATTCATAATCACTGTAAATCAATATCGTCCTCAGTCTTCACACGGCATGATTTAATTGATTTTTATTGGAGCTCGTTTTCAATCAAAACTTTTGTGGATATTTTGATTATTTATTTCCGCGGGGCTGAATGGTGATCAATCTGCTATGCGAACAACATTGATCAGCAGTCATAACCATTCTCGTTCAGTTCAGTTCGCCAATTCTGAAAAGCAAGTTAATTGAATTTTTTTAATCAAGTAACACCACACATCGACGGTCAAGATTTTTGAACCGATAATTTTTCATTTCGTCTGCGGTATAAGTTCAACCAACGTAGCCGATAACACGGTCAATATTAATTGAACCAAACTATTAATTTTTCTTTATTTTTTTTTGTAATTTCTCTGGGTGTTCATTCCCAATAAAAGTTGAAACTCGTATCAAATTAATCTCGTTTAACATTCTCAAACTGGTTGAATATTCTCAGTCTGATTTGGTCTTCCGGTAAATTCGGGGGTGGATAGTCTTGATCTTTGTTGCGTACCTTGTTGGCGACAGAAGGAACCGAAGGAGATACAGGTAATACTCCCAAGTATTCAAGGCCTTCACTGCATCCCGGGAGCAAACAACTTGGTCCATAAAAAGATTAGAGCTAGTGCATTAAACGCCATTCTCAGTCCACGTTCGGTATAATATTAAACAAAATTTTTGACCGAAAATCACATGAGATATACAACCAATTGAGCGTGAATTTTTTTTAAGCTAATTAGATTAAAAGCAATATTCAAATAGTGATCGATTATGCGGCATTATTTTTTTAAATTGGATATTCAAAACTACCATAGATTGGTTTTCGCCGATTAGGCTTAGACACAATCATAGAATAATAATAATAATAAACTGAAGTAAATGCGGTATTGATTTTAAATCGAGTACCATCATCTAATTACATATACTTTAATAGTACGGACTTTATGTTATGTTATTTTTTTAATAATCTGAATTTACAACTTGGTATTTGAGTCTTGGAACATGGAATTGTTTCCCATTCTCGATGCAACTTATTTGACAGACGAACAGCGACAGATCGAAGGGGAGATATATAACCTATATCCAGCACCGGTTCAATGGACCGACACCGAAATAGCCGCTCTCAATGGTAAAATATCTGCTTACGTTGGCCAACCATATTTGATAAAATCCCATGCCCTACACCCAATGAATGAGTTGGAAATATGTGAGAGAGCCTATCGGGAAGTGGAGGCGAATGAGGTGTTAACATCTCAGGGTCGTCTTCATCAATTGATACATGATTGTTATCGAACCGCTCGGTTAAAGTTAAAACCCGAGTCGGCTACACGCCAGGCAGATCTGATCGGAAAATTTGCGTCGAAGATTCGGGACCTTCGGATGTCTTCACCGAATACGGGAATCCCGATGGGCGATTCCCGATTAAGTTTGAACTCGACCTTCCATTGTTTTGAGAATGAACGGGGAACGATGAGTTCAACTCAAAATACTGTTCCATCCCAATATTTACCCTTAACAATACCAAATGCTCTACCAGCCGTTCTCAATTCAGTGTCAAGCGGGACGGAACCAACACCCTCATTACACCAACTGTCCGAAATGGTGTCTGAGTTGTTGATAACCCAAACACAGATGCAACAGCAAATGAGCCGTGACCGGATTCATTTACAGACACCAATACCTTACGTTCGTGACATGAACCAAGCTATGCCAACGACCCGGAATCATACCTGGATACCAGCCTCGGTGGATCCTCCTCTTGGTTCTTTAGGTGGTCATACAACCTTACAAACTCAAACGATCAATACCTACCGTGGTGTTAGAACGTCACATATCCAAGAACCAATTAATCAACCAGAGGCTTAACATCATGGATGGGACGTGCTCAATTCGATGGCGTTCATGTGAACGAAAAATTTCTATCGGTTGAAGATTATTTGGCTATTATTGGCTCATTTCGATATAAGATTGGAGTACCTGACCATGAATTGGTAACGCGTTTGGTACCCACACTCACGGGGCCGCTCGGCAATGGTACTTCACCGAACTGAGAAACTTCGGAGATTATCAAGATTTTTGGACGAAACTTCGTGCTCGCTTCCTCAACAAACATACTCGGGCCCAAGTAATAATGTCATATGAACAGATTAAATTCGATCCACGTTCGCAAACACTGTTGAACCATATCGATGACTTGACATTCCAATTGCAGGGTAATTCCTGTGGTCTGGATGAACGGGACCACCTCGATGTCATCATTGGTACCTTATCCGATCATCTGCGTGAACTCGTTCACACTCGACAAGTCCACACGTTGGAGCAATTGCGTGAGTTCGCTCAGTGAATTGCACCACACTCGTTCATTGTTGCCACACCCCGTCCGGAAAGAACCCGTTTGGATAGACAGCGATCAGTGCCACGGGAAATTGCGGCAATACATGATCCACCGGATGATTCTTCACATTCGGAATGTACCGCTTCGTTTCCTGGGTCCGACTCCGATGACAGGGAATGTGCATACTTGAACAAGCAAAAGAAACCAATTAAAGCATCTCAGAAACATAGGTATTCGAAACCAGTCGAGGATTATAAAAATGACAAAAATCCAAAGGAGAATGATATGAAAGTAGGAACTATCGTCGACCCATATTTCGTTGTTGAGGGGACGAAAATGTACGATGCGCAAAATGTCTCGTGTGGGGCCATCACTTCAAAAAGTGTCGAACCCAACCGAATAGGGTGATCTGCTACAAATGTACACGACCAGGGGTTATGTCTGATCAATGCCCGTGTTCAAAAAACGCGTAAGGGAGTCGATTGGGAATAGTGATCCATCGTACTCAGAATCCACAACTTTATCTAAATCCACTGTCTCTAACAATCCGCACTCTACCGAAGTCCCTCTACAAATCGACAAATCTTCAATCCCGAATTCCAATAATAATTATACTCTGATTCTTAATGAATCTAATCAAACTCAAAGGGATGGCAAAGAACCATCAACTAAATGTTTTGAACGAACACTACCAATTACCAAACTTACTTCAGCTCCAGTCCCTACTCACCTGCATGACGCAGTCAATCAAGTTAACCAACTACGACTCCGCGATGCTTTCTTTATCTCAGAGAAATGTTTGACATATAACATTCCGAACGATTGTCGCGATTATCTCACGGTTATGGTTAACAACCATTCTCATACGGTTTTACTCGATGGTGGAGCCGAAGTCACAGTCATTTCACAAACATTTTATGAGAAGTACAGATGGGGGCAGTTGCAACCTACCAAAACCTCCATTGGTCTTGCCGATAATTCGATTTCTTTTAAGGCCATTGGTAAAGTGGATGTATTATATACGGTCGGTAGTCTTACCCGACTGGTGCCAACTCTTGTCGTACTTATCTCACTGAAACACCCAATTATGGGACGGACATTCCTTGAGGCCTTCTTTTTCGAACTGGTGCAAAACCAAAAGAAAGTTAAACGATTTTTAAAACATACAGCCAAAGGTGATACTGAAGAAGTTGCATCCGCTAAAGTCGAAATGGTTACGGCGGATAAATTTATTAATTTTTGTAAGTAGCCACCAGGGAGTGGGAAAGAACAAGCTCAGGTATCTTCTATAAGTAATGATCTGGAGCCAATTGACGCTTCCACACTCGGTTTAGAGGGTGAACTAGATACTCCAAAAATAACGAGCGTCAGCCTTCCACATAAACTCACCCCAGATCAAAGACAAATGTTGGACGCCGTTCTCAGACTTTTTAATCCAACTCCTGAGTCTGGTCCTTTAAATATCACTAATCAGATCGAACACGTAATTGATACGGGGATGCAAAACCCGTCATGAAACACCAATATCCAGTATCGCCATATGTGGTGTGCGGAGAAAGTCCTTGGCGGTCACCAATTCTGGCTGTAAAGAAGAAAGATGGAACGTGTCGGGTGTGCTTGGACGCGAGAGAGCTGAATAAAATTACTATTCCAAATGCCTATCCAATTACGGATACTAATCAAATTTTAGCACGACTAAAGTCAGCTAAATACCTAACCAGTATTGATCTGTCTCAAGCTTTCTTTCAAATTCCTTTGGCAAAATCGAGTCAACTGAAAACCGCTTTTGCATTCGGTAACAGACTTTAAGCTCTTCGTCGCATGACGATGGGGTTGAGAAATTCACCCGCTACATTAGCCATTCTCATTGATAAAATTTTCCGTGATTTGGTTCCAATTGATTCGCATATGTCGATGATTTCATAATTTGCACTTCGACGTTTGAAGAACACGTTAAGATATTGGCTATTGTTGCAAAACGTCTTAACCATCTCAACATCCAAATCGAATTTTTGTTGTAAACGATTGGAATTCCTGGGTTACGTTTTGTCTCAAGAGGGTCTATCTGCGAGTCCATCTCGTATTCGAGCTATTGTTGAATTTGCACGGCCCAAAACGGCAAAAGAAGTCAGACGGTTCGTTGGTGCTGGTACCGAAAATGTATTCCAAATTTTTCGGAGATCACAGCTCCCCTTTGTGAATTGTATAAAGGAAACCGAAAAGGACCCATTGAATGGAATACCGCTGCTGAACAAGCCTTTCTCAAACTCAAAGAGTGTTTAGCTACCACTCCCGTTCTGACTATGGCCGATTATTCAAAACCATTCAAGGTTTATACCGATGTCTCGCTTATCGCAGCGGGTGCTGTTCTAGTACAAGAACATGATGGGAATGAACGTGTGGTTCAGTATATTTCTAAGAAATCCTCGAAATCCCAACAAAATTACACAGCATCCGAACGGGAATGCCTAGCCGTTCTCTTAGCGGTCGAAAAGTTCCGTCCATATTTTGAGGGTCGTGAATTGGTTTTGGTAACGGACATGCAGCTTTGCGCTGGCTGCAAACTCTCAAAGAACCAACTTGCCGTTTATGCCGTTGGGCGATCCGATTATCACCATACGATCCCAAAATTATTCATAAACCAGGAAAACATTTAGAACTTCCTGACGCCTTATCTCGTTCGTTTGCTCTTCTCAACATCGTTCGTAGAAATCCAATTGACCTTCAGAGTAATTTTCACGTTAATCGTACCCCAATCACATCCGTGATCAACATTGACCCAAACACGTGCGATAAATGGTACAACAAAATGCATGCCATGGCCTCAAAACAACCATTAGATAGATATAAAATCGAGAACAACCTCCTATATCATCGATTGAAATTTTCCAAATAAAGTGCGGAAATACTGTGGACACTTTGTGTACCATCTTCTGACAGAGCAAAAGTCCTCGATGAAAATCATAACCAACATTCGCATCAGGGTGTCTGGAAAACTTCTAGACGTATCTCACAACGCTATTACTGGCCAAACATGTATGAGTCCGTTTACCAGTACGTTCGGCAATGTGAACTATGCCACCGCATTAAACCAAGTAATGAGATCACCACAACACCTCACGGCGAATATAGAGAACCAAAACGACCGGGTAGACAATTATCGATTGACTTCGTCGGTAAGCTGCCCATGTCTAAAAATCGTAACCAATGGGTCTACATAGCCATCGACTGTTACTCGCGATATGTCTGGACGCAGCCCATAAAAAACGCAAACCCCTATATCCGTAGTCAATTATCTTCGACATATATTCTCGGTGAATGGCTGCCCCGAACTTATTATATCAGATAATATTACTCAATTCATCAGTCAAACTTTCGCAAAGCTTTGCGCCGATTATAATATCAAACACATGAAAACGCCTTTGTACCATCCACAAGCCAATCAGGTAGAGGCGACAAACAAAAGCATTAAACTTGGATTACGTGCTCACATGGCTGATCTTCTTAAACATTCCTCCTGGGAAAACTATCTTTCTCGTGTTATTCATGATATTGACACTTCAGTGCATTCCGCCACGGGCTACACGCCATATTTCCTACACACCGGTCGTGAATATGTGAAAGATGGAAACGAATATAAATTATTATTGGATGTAAATCCATACCATACCCAGGAGGTGGAACAACGTAAAATTCTGGCTGATGAATTTCGAGACAGACAGTTCGTACAATATCAACAAACCGCGCAACGGGCATTGACCCGCAAAGAGAACGCCATTTCGAGATAGGCTCGGAAGTGTACATTCCCAATCCTAAACAGTCCGTGGCCGGAGAGGGCTATGCGCAAAAACTAGCCCCACCAAAAATTAGAGCCTATGTTTCACCGAAACATGGTTCGAATTCATATGAACTGATCAATGCTAAACAGAGGCAATTATTCCGCCGATTTAATCACAACACGTTAACTCATTCAGTACATTCGCCTTCTCAAGAATTTCGATGAATATATGGCGGGCCTCCATATTCCATTGATTCTGCCATATTGAAATGATAATTACGTTTGTAATTGAATTACTGAATAAATTAATTAAGTTTAGTTTTGTTATATCCATAGTTTTGTTATATTATATCCTCAGTACATTGCTAGTAAATCGATCAAAGCAAACAGGAAAAGATTCATAACCAAATCATTTACCCATGCCTTTCATCTACCGTAGCTTAAGTAATGCGTACTGAAACTAAATAGGAAAGACGGAACATGTGTACATACATATGCGCTCAAAGGCGAACTGAACGAGTCAGGATGAGGTTGATGAAGATCATGTAGAACGATTTCGATGTAAGGTCTAACGTCCATCAAACCACAGCCCGTGAATCGCATTCGAACCACCATTCTCATATCCCTACTAAACGCACCACATTTTTTTGTTAACGTGTCGCTGAAGATGAGAGGGGGATAATGATCTATTCTTTTTATAGGCCAAATAATAGACATAAGAACGATTATGAGAAATGTAAACATAACAAAACTGTCAAAGCTAAACTTCAAAATGGGGGGACTTGCCAGATGAATGTACGTCACCAATAGTTATTCAAGACACGAAACGTCATATCGGTATAGACACGAATTGACATGGCTACTATGAAAACGCCACACTGACATACGATAAAAGAATCGGTGGTCACATACCACGAGGCTAGAAAAATATTCTTTCTTTTTGGAATGGGACACGGACCGAACAACACGCATCAGCCATCGCAAGAAGGAAGTAATCCTAACCAAGCAATTTATCAAAGCTGACGACATTGGTTTGGTTAAATTCAATCCTCAGAGTGCGTACACCTGGGGAATATACTTATCGGCATTGTTCCACCACATTCCTTCCGGCAAATCCCCAACCAAGTGGTTACCTGTGGGAATAAAGAGTATGTGGATATAAATTCTGGTCTATTCATTTGGCAGCAGTTAGACCACCGTACACCGGTAATCCCAAAATCATCGAACGTAAGTCAACCTCATTATTGTCACCATCCCATTGGAAACGAGCTACCCAACAACAGTTTATCGAGATTCCTGTTTGGACCGACAAGAAAAGGTCAAGCAAATCAAAAACTTAATTCAACTATCCGACCAAAATCTTACTTTGCCTACCAGCCTACCAAATGAAAAAGAAGCGACCAAATTTGGTCGGAAAAGACCAATAGTGGCAACACTGTTTGTTATAATTGCTTCAAATAATTTAGGAATTAGCTATTCCCCGGTAGTTCTCCACTGAAGATCTGCTACCGCTTTTATGTAAAGGCGTTATGAACGACTCCTTCCATATAGTTGGAAAAACGCCCTCTTTAAGAGACAAATTAAATAACGCTGTTAACGGCTCATAGAGATAATCAGCACAATTTATAAGAATACAAGTAGGGATATGGTCAGGACCATAACTGAAGGACTGCTTTAAGGATTTCAGATAAACTACTACATCATCGGGAGATATTACTGGGATATTTATTGAGTTCATTGGACATAGTTTAAAAGGATAGTCAGTTAGCATGTGAGTTAATGGAATAATGGGATTTAAAAAACTGAGCGAACATGTTAGAAATCATTTGATTATCACTAGAGACGGTATTTTGATACTTCATGGCGGAAGGAAACCCACGTACATTTCGCTTGGAGTTTAGGAAGTCATAAAATGATTTGGGGCTATATATTATACGCCGTTTGATTTTGCACAAGTAAGCTTTATAACACTTTTTATTTAATTCAAAAAACTTAGGATGCAAAAGTGAGTATTTTATATAGTATGAGTGTAAACCGGGTTTTTTGTGTAATCTAAAATAACGTGACTTTCTGTTTTTCAAATTTCTCAGTTCTTTAGTGAACCATAACTGTGCTTGTTCTTCAGGAACATACATGCGTTTAGGCTAGGGCTGCCAGACGTCCCGGGTTTCCCGGACATGTCCCGGTTTTAGACTATTTGTCCCGGTGTCCCGGTCCAACCTTAAAATGTCCCGGATATCGTTTTAGTGTCCCGGTTTTTGATTTGATTGCACAAATTTGAATAAAAGTTCAAAAATCACTACACAAAAAACGCGTTTCTATATTCAGAAAAATGTTATAAAGCCACTGAGGGAAATAACGCATAGTAAACACGAATATTTTCTATTTGATTATCGTTTAAAAATGTTCGCATTTAAAAATAATACTTTCATAACACGCACGCGTGGTGTTGATTCAAACTCAACATTTAAATTCACATTTACATGTCTGGCTGTAGCTGAGTACGCGAAGATGCTTGCCACAATTTGCTAATTTCCAGAGGGTCCGGGTTCAATTCCCATTACAACCACCATGGAATTTAAATATTTTTTTAACTTAATTATGAAAAAGCAATCGGTAATTGCAAATCGCTTCATTTTAATATGGGCGTATTTGAATTGAATATTTATATACTAAATACTAAAATTTGTATGTTTAAATGTATTACGAGTTGGGTTGGTGCTCTTTCATATGCGTATTTTTAAATTTAGCATGTTTTGTTAATTCTAAACTTCTTTCTCTCAGTGCACCGCTTTAATTTATGAAATAGTCACATTTCGAGATAATTGAACTTTGCACAAGCAATAGTTGATGATTAGTATATGTACCTAAATACGTTCAAAATGACGTGTACAGAGTTTTACAATTATATTAAGGAAAAGACAGAAGTTTTGAAACAAGTTCACAGCAACGAAAAATATGACTTATATATTAATGTTATCTTGTACTTAAATTTTTTTCTTTCATGAAACCTAGAGTACTTATAAGTACAATGCCGTACAAAATTATTGGCTCGGAGGCTCTTTCATCAGATCACAATTTCTAATCAGATCTTTTAGAAAAATTTTGAAAATGTAGCTTTTGAGCCAATTAATAAAGTGCAAGTCTGAAGTTGCCAGCAAATTTCGTTGATTTTTAGCATTTATTTTTTTTGCTGACAGTGTCTTTCATATAAAAAGAATTATCGAACATAGATTGTATGGAAGAAACTATCAGTAAAAACAATACCAAAAATTAACTAAAATTTAATGGGCTGCAAAACTTCATTTTAAAAATTTTCATAAAAAGTCTGATTAGAATGTTGCAAATTTGTATGAAAATTTATTGAATTTTCCCGAGTTTAGCACAAAGTTTAAAAATTTTACTTTTATGTTTTTTCATATATTTAGTATAAACTGTATTTTTATAAAGAATAAAAAAGGTTCATGCATTGTGAAAAATTCTCTGTGCTTTAGTTGTGATAAGTTGTTTTGTTTTGTTGGCGTACGTTGTAATGTTGTCATGATCTCATGTTTTTATGTTTTTGTTTTTGTATGTCAAAATAAAATTTCACTACATCCTTTCGCACGTCGAAATGAAAGAGAAGGGAGCGAGTGGTCCTCCCTAAAGTGTCCCGGTTTGGCAACAGAGATATCTGGCAGCCCTAGTTTAGGCACATGCTTTTTAAATAATTTATGTAAAGTAAAGTTACAAAGTGCAACGCTTTGTTCAATATATTCTTTATATGCATGCCACGACATTTTAGACAGTTCTTTCTTGAGCTTTTTAAAGTTAGCTTTCTAAAAACCAAAGCGAATATTTGGTTCGTATGCTTGGCTACCGCAATTTTGACCATCACTTATAACCTCGTAAGATATCTCCATAGCGGCAAATCTTGGAGTGCCCACCCTTTCGGCAATAGTAAACATGCTCAATTTCTTTCTTCGGGGCTGATATTTTGATGTGCGTTCCGTCTATGAGTCCGATTATTCCAGGAAATTGGTATTTTTCCATGAATTTTATTTTGAGCGCCGGGAAGTCTTCGCGTTTTGGGATCTTTATATGTCTGTGGGCTATGTTATTAAGTGCAGTTGCCACCACTTGCACACATCTGCTGACTGATGTTTGGGATAAAGCAGATAAACTGTCTTGCCCCACACTTCTTTGAAAGCTACCAGTGGCAAAAAAACGCAGGGCGCTTAAAATAATTACAAGACTCGGAACAGCATGTCTCCGTTGCGAGTTCGGCATAAATGGCATTAATTCATTAATTAATTCCAGGCACAAAGCTTTAGGGAACCGATATAAATCAATGAAATGCTCGTCTGTTATAATCTCAAAGGGATTTTGGTCGTCGCGAAGTCTGCGCCGGAGCACTCTCAAATTATCTCTGAAATACATAATGCGTTAAATTGTATATACTGCATTTAAAAAATTTACACCTTTATTACCTTTGCTCGCCTCGAATTCTTTGCGATAATTCTAATAAAATAATTATTCCCGACATGTTTTGTTTACGTTTTCCTCAACTTTGACATTTACTTCGAAAATTCAATAGCACAGTTGCAAAAGTTTCACGACTATAGTGGTAATGGAACACGATTTTCACAGCACAAACCAGAATCGCAAAATGAGTGTCTGTGAAAAGGCAGAGTGAAAAGTAGTTGTGAAAACGAAAATGAAAACTTTTTTTTCACTTCATCTTATCACAGAACGAGAATTTAACCCCCTGGACTGAAAAAATAAAAACAACTGAAAAGGGTTTTTAAGACGAATTAATAAGAGAAAAATACTCGAATTTTTATATTATAGAAGTATTTCAGCTTATTGGAATTTTAAAACACAAAAATGGAAGAGTAAAACTGAATGTCTCTTCGACTCAGTTTTCTCTAATGAAATGAACTATTTTCTCTTTCCTATTAACTAAATTAAGAGATTTGAAACATTACAATTACATCTTAAAATCAAATTTGCAATAACAACTAACTATAAAAATGAGAAAAAGGAGAAGTTAGAGCTCGAATAACGGTAATTTTTTGATTTGCTTCTGACAGTATTCTAATGTCGCGTACGTTATGCAAAAACATTGTTTGTCTATGTCATTTGTATATTGGCAGTCGCAGGTAATGCAGATTACAATTCTTAAGCGAGAATTCTTCCAGTTAAAGATATACAGTAAAATTTTCTTTCCAACCGAAGTAAAAATATATTTTATTACCCTTTAAAGTTTGAAGTACGAAAATTTCAATCAAATACATCAAAACCAATGTTAATTGCAAATTTTCCATTTAAATTATTAAGAATAGTTGTAAAACAATGAAACGGTGGCGAGAAGAGTTCTCAATAAATACATTTTATTACTTACGAGAAAAATTGTCGCGTACGTTATGTCGCGTACGTTATTTTTTTTTTTTAATATAAAACTAGCCAGAGATAATTTCTCTTAAAATATGAAAGGATTGTAAAGGTACATTATTTAGCTTAGTTTAGGAATTTTTAAAGAAAAGAAAAACTCCCATGAGTCGCAGACTTTCGCATATATGCGTGTTTCCATGAAAATGTAAACCGAAAATGCAAGCAAATGAATTCAAACGGCTTTATAACTTTAAATTTTGTATTCAGATGGCGGAAAAAGGTTTTGAAAACGCGAAACAGTGGAGAGAAGGACTGAAAAAATTTAATTTAGTATGTGTTACTAGTAAAAATATTGTATGGGGGAAAAATCTGTCGCGTACGTTATGTCGCGTACGTTATTGTTTTTTTTTTTTAATATAAAACTAGCCAGAGATAATTTCTCTTAAAATATGAAAGGATTGTAAAGGTACATTATTTAGCTTAGTTTAGGAATTTTTAAAGAAAAGAAAAACTCTCATGATTCGCAGACTTTCGCATATATGTATATGTGCCTTAAAACCACTTCTTTTTTTGTCGCGTACGTTATCATCTGGTTTTGAACGGATATTTTCCACACCAAAATTTCGAGGCTGCTTATTTTTTTCTCAATCGTAGTACCCTTTGGTTGCAACATAACCGTAATCTTTTTTTTCTGTAACTTCTATTTTTGATAGATTTACGTTACTCTATAAGCGTACGAATGTCGCGTACGGCTGTATGGAAACACCCATATGTGAAATACGAAGGTATGCATACATGCACAGTTTCGGTTGAAAACCGAAGTAATGCATATAACAAAAACCGAAATAATGCATGCATGCACAGTTTCAGTTGAAAACCGAAATAATGCATATGAAAAAACCCGAAGTAATGCATACATGCACAGTTTCGGTTGAAAACCGAAATAATGCATATGAGAAAATACCGAAATTATGCATATGCATACTTTCGTTTTAAAAGCGAAATAATGCATATATATATGAAGTAATGCATACATGCACAGTTTCGGTTGAAAACCGAAATAATGCATATGGCAAAAACCGAAATAAAGCATACAGCATAAAAACCGAAATAATGTCTAAATGTACAGTGTCCATATGCGCAATTTCGGTGCCCTCTCCATAGCAGGGTGGTACACATCTTCGGGAAAAACTAGTGGATCACACTTATTTACAATGGACTTAGATGCATCATCAACATAAACAAGATCTAATACTTTACCAAACTTATTGTGAAGTACATTAACCTGAGTTAGGCAGAGTTCAGCCATCTCCTCTAAAAATACGTTGTTGCACGCACTAGACGCGAAAGGTACGATATCATTGTCAATGATGTTCCATGATATGCTCGGTAAATTAAAATCACCCAACACAATCATTGAATCAGAAGGTTTAGTCAGTAAATTAACTGAGTAAAGAGATGAGTCGTGAATACACCAATGTGTCAGATCGGGGAGGGATATAGCATAGAGCTAAGTAAATAGACCCTTTTCCAACCTGTACACGAATGCATTTGAATTCTACTGAATCAGTGTATGGAAGACTAACGTCTTCAGATGGTATTGAAAAGTCTACAGCGAAGAGTACGCCACCGCCGATTCTGTCCTCCCTATCTTGTCTATAGATATGATAATTATTTAAAAGAATCTCTAAATTGAAAATGTGAGGTTTCAGCCAAGTTTCAGTGAAAGAGAGAATATTATAATTACATTCAAGGCCTTTAAGGTACAAGTTCGTAAATTTAGCATTTAAGCCTCTTACATTTTGGTAATAAATACTTAAAGCAGATTTAATAATTAGTTTTTTGGTTCAGTATTATGACGGGGAATATTAGCTAAGTTATTTCCTTTTTTGGGCCTATAGTCAAATTCACGAACGAAAGCTGCGGGGAGCCAAAAAGAACTACTAAGCAGCGCAATAAAATTATCTAAATTTACGTCAGTTTTAAATGAAGCAATATTTCTTTCCTATTTAAAATTAAATTTTCTGATGCTTAAGTCGACAGTTCTAATTTTTGATGAGATATAAAACTTTATATCGTCTTCGGAAGTGTCTCTCGAAAATCTAGAGACAAAGATTGACTTCTTTGGTGGAACCACAACTAGTTTCCTTGTATCAGACTGGAGTACCGGTGGAAAGGGTTGAATTACTGCGTTACTAGTTGAGGATAGGTAAGGCGGTGGAGGCTTTGAAGACGATGCCACCACATCAATGGGGGATGGGGAAGATCCTTCAGGCTCGGTATTATTCGAAGCAGATTTCGTTACACGCTCTTTGGAGGCTGAGGATTCTGATGCTGGAGGATATGGAGAGGATAGATTAATTAAGTTAGTCGGAAGATTATTCTGACGTGGAACGGTAATAATTTTCTTAGATGGACTATGAAGACGATTACGTTTAGACAGACGGATATCCTTAACAGATTGCAAGGTATCTAAGCATTTAAATGATTTAAACACATTTTCATAATGCTTAAATTTTTCTATCAGTACTGACAATTCTCTTTCTATTTCTGTAAAACCATTTCTGGTTTGCCTAAATAACTTGAAAAGATCAACTTCGGTTGACCTGCACTTTACGCAAGACCAGC